CATAATCAACGTTAGCATCATCATCATCATCAGCTCGCTCATCATATCATGATCCAATGATTTAAAATCATTAACCATCTTAAATTGACACCATGTAAAATCATCACCATCATCACCACCATCAGGGCTTAATTTATCACTGAATATCCGGATCGTTTGCATACCCGGAAGTAGTCACGTGAGGAGTACTCACTGCCAGAGCGATATGTATACTCGATGTGGTATGCCGGGCGTGCAACTAGTTTCAGGTATTCTGACCCGGACGGACCCGGCTGAATTTAGGTCATCATCATCATCATCAGCACCATCACCATCAGCAGCATGTTTCCATCTGCTGCTGATTCACATCTGCCAATGCCAGTGTACCATCATGTCGATGTATCACCACCATCATCATCATCAGCACCATCACCATCAGCAGAATATTTCCATTTGCTGCTGATTCACATCTGCCAATGGCAGTGTACCATCATGTCGATGTATCACCATCATCATCATCAGCACCATCACCATCAGCAGAATATTTCCATCTGCTGCTGATTCACATCTGCCAATGCCAGTGTACCATCATGTCGATGCATCACCACCATCATTATCCATTCTCTATCTTCTGGTAGGTGGAGATCTGCAATTATCAGCATCATCAAATTAAATGACCATCGAAGGGGGCAGCACCTGCGTGACGTCAGCCCCTGCACAACGGCGAGAGAGAGAGGACGACGCCTCTGGTTGATGCCACGTGGGCTCGCCGAGGAGGAGCAGGCGGCAGGCCTCACGGAGCTGCGAGGAAGACCCCCAAACACCCCCACACAGTAACGTCGCACATAGTCGCAAAGGTGTGCACAGCCAACGTTGAGTGGACTACACAGCTCTCTATACAGTACTCGCTCTCTCTCTATGTACAGGTAAATGACAAGTACACAAGTGAACAAGACAAAGATCCCCCGTATAGCCTGTAACAGTTTTTTTGGAGAGGAAGTGCTGTTAGCGAGCACCTATGAAGGCCGGCATGGCACACGAGGGGGTGGGTGGACAACACCACATCCGGCCGCCTTTGTCTCCCCATTGATAATGTTTACACACCACACCAGATACTCATTTGAGGCTGAGTCGACCTGGAGGAGACCCAGGACCGGTTCAGATAATCGTCACTGGTTTTGGCCGTGAGCGGGAATCGATGTCGGGTCGCCGGGTTCATAGCGCAGTGCGCTAACCGCTACACCACCGCTCCGCACCTCGATTATGGATGATATTGGTCGCGAAAGCCTCCGTGTTAAAATGTCAACAAACCCAACACAATTCAACTTAATCGTAATATTAACGGTCTTTCAAAAAAACCACAGAGAACTAATATTCTTATACAACCTTGCCGTGAAATTTTTTTGGCATAATAATACAGTCCAGTGAACTCACTCACGGATATTAATCAACACGAATGGAAATTAAGTAAAGTTGGAGCAGCTATAATCCGCAATCGCAATTCTAGGAAAATTAAGAGTTTTTTTTTACGGAATAAATAAAAGTAATGTTTACAATAAAGTGAAGGGCTTTGCGAGCGAGTGTATTGTGGGAGTGATGTCCATGCATCTCGTGCATGCCGGATAATGAACAAGCGTATACAATGGAATGTGTAAACTTGATAAAGTACTCAACCGGTGCAATGGAAAGCACCCATCTGTGTACATCGTGTGAGTTACTTTTTTGTTCAATGGACCTTCCACAAGGAAGAAAAGTTACATTTGAAAAGAAACATAACTAAATAAAACTTATACGGAAATGCATGTTTAGACATTTACAAAAGCTGACCGCGTCTAAAAATAGCGACGTCGTTACTGTAAAACTACGGCCGACCCTCCAGCGAGCCGTTGGGTTGTACGGTACCACGTGCTGCTGCTGCGGCAAACAATATCCGACGTTTCGTTTCCGTGTGCCCGAACCAAAGAAAGCTCCCGGCGTATTCCTGGAGAGGCTCCGAGCACGGGCAGCTGAAACGTCGGACGTCGTGCCAAACGACGGGGGGAGGGGGGGGACAGATCGGGGCGCTCCACAGGACAACCGTGAACCAAATTACGGAGCGGCGCAGTGACGTCGAATGCTCATCGGTCACAAAATGTCAAAAAGGGGTTTCATTGCTCGGATGAACGCTGCGGTGGCAGGACTCGTTTATGTTGTTTGATCTGAGCCGGTGGTGGATATTCCACATTCCCATGACGGGGGCTAGATTACGGCTTTTCACGAAACGTCAGAGGGGCGATGGACCGACTTGACCCCGACCTGACCCCGACGGGGATTGGAGCTCGCGAGCCGTCCGACTTGGGAGTTGTGCTTCGTGCCACAACGCCGCCAGACGCGGCAGCTACTTCCGAATCACTGCGGACACTCCACTGCGAACCGTCAACTTGAACACGGACAAATAATAATGCACCGGCACAACACGCAAACAGCAGCAACGACGACAAATAACAACCGCCATCCACCACGACTACAAAGTAGCCATGAGGCCACAGAACTTGAGTACGCAGGCCAACTCGAGTGTGCTACCCCTCCGCCACCCTACCCAGCCCCCCCCCCCCCACTCCGTGTCGATGTCTCTCGACACAGCTCGAGTCAGCTACAGATCCAGGCGGTTTCTCCCGCGGACGATCTCGCTACTCGCCTCACCTGAGGCTAGGTGAGGTTTCCGGCCGGGCAGAAATCTTAAACTCGTGTGGACACGGGCCTCAACGTTCTACGCGGCCGGGTCATCTAATCGAACGTAGTCGTGTCCATCGGGCACCTTCAAGTCAAGGCGCTTGACATCGCTTGCAACACGGTGACAGGGTAAAATGATTGACGATTGAGGAATGGGCGACCGCGATGGAAGGGGCACTTGGGGCTCAGGAGAGGGGGGAGAGGAACGGGAAGGAGTGGAATGGGCAAGGCGGAGGGAAGAGATCGGGCGGTAGGGAAGTGGTGAGGCTTTAAGAGGTGAAGCTTTAAGAGGTGAGGCTTGAAGAGGTTGAGGCGTTAAGAGATGAAGGGGAGGAGGTGCAGGAGGGTGACTGCTGCGTGATGTACAAGGGAAGATGATTCCAGCGGAGGGGTGGGAATACTGTCGCCACTGTGTTTGTGACACCAACAGGACATCGAGGCAGACTTGGCAGGGACGTCACCGCAGCATTTGTCCCACAGGCTCGGCGCACTTAGAGTGGCGGTAAATATCACAAGAGGAGGACTGTAATGGGTTAACCCAGCGATTTCCAAACGTCAGTCTTTGTCACTCATCATTATCCACTTTTACAGGTTCAACTATTTGAATGGAAGTACAAGTCGCTTGAGTGGGGGCCCTTCTGCCAGCTGCGGTGTGACCACACACATGCACGGTTGCTCCTCGAGCACTCACTCATTGAACGTATTGGCCTGTGCACACCGGTGCAGCATAACACACCGGGGTCCTCAGAACGACAGTTCTCAAATCTAAATTGTAACTGACATTCGTCTTCCGACTGCTTCGACATCACGAGAACTGATTTTGACGCACCACCACTACCACAGCGCAAGATTTTCTGACCGGGGTTGAAAATCGCTGGACAATAAATAATGCTTGCGAAAAATCTGCTTTTTGTTTTGTTTTATACCGCGCATCACCGGTGTACCGCCAATACGTTCATATAGAGGATCGCAGAGCTTGGGCAGTTGTTGGCACCGACTTATTGCATGGCTGCCTTCCTGCTCGTCTGCGGCTCCTCCCACTCGAGTCATTCTCTCTCGACGACGGTGAGCGGATCCTGAACAGACGGTTGGCCGGAATGGCACATGGAGAGGGTGGGTAGCCAGCACCACGCCCGGCCGCCTTTGTCTCCTTAGTGGGGATGTTTACACGTCACCAGGTACTTATTTGAGGCTGAGTCGACCAAGGGATAAGTCCAAGACCGGTTAAAATAATCGTCACTGTTGTTGGCCGTGACCGGGAATTGAACTTGGGTCGCCGCATTCGTAGCGCAGCGTAGCGCTAACCACTGCATCACCGCTCCCCCACACAGTCTACACAGGAGCTGTAACTAGAATCAGCACTCTGGACGTCACGTGGGACGTAATGAAGCATTATTGGCTATTCGTAGATGTGTGATGAGAGAAGACTGGTAAACGTGGAAACGCATATCATGGTGGGTCGCAGGGACTGTAGTTGGGTTAAGACAACACGGTGACTGTCACATGGCCTACCCACACTCCCTGCAGTGCCAACAAACACACAGATAAAGATCCCCCGCAGAGGCTTTTACAAGCTGTTGGGCAAATGTTGTTAGGGAGCACGTGCTAAGGCTGGCACAACGCCCGAAAGGGTAGCACCACGCCCGGCCACCTTAGTCTGCCTAGTGCTGACATTTACAGACTGCAGCAAGAATACATTTTAGGCTGAGTCGACCTAGGGCAGATCGCCGAGGATATCACTGATTTCACAGAACCGTTCGTGGGCCAGAAAATCGAACACAGATTGCCGGGTTCGTAGCGCAGCGTGCTGGACGCTACGCCACCGTGCGCACAAAGACAAAGATCTCCGTCGTAGCCTCAACAGACCGTTGGGGCAAGCGTCGTTAGCCAGCGCCTACGCACACACGCACACGCACGCATTGAGCGGGGGGGTGGTGGGGGGGGGTCCTCAGTGGGCCCCGAGGGGCGGTTTGACGACCATGACGGCGATGGGCGCGTCGGGGCCACCCCTGCGGTGGAACGCCCGCAGCGCCAGCTCCCGCGCCCCCATGCCCGGGTCGAGCAGCCGCTCGCTCACGAGGGCGCACGCCTCGTCCGGGGAGACGCCGCTCCACAGCTCGTTGGAGCCGAGCAGCAGGAAGCCGCCGGGTTCCCCGAGGAGGCCCGGGGACCCGGCGGCGCGAGCTCCTCCGTCTCCGCCGGCATCCGCGCCGCCGGCGGAGACGCCGGTCGCGGACTCGACGGGGTCGGGGTTCGTCTCTCGGGTGACGACGTCGGGCTCGGCGATGACGACCCGCGAGGCCTTGAGGCCCGGGTCGCCCAGCGAGCGCGAGGCCGTGAGGACACCCTGCACGCGCCACGCTCGGTCGCTGAAGCTGATGTACCCGCCTGTCACGCGCACGCCACGGGGAAGAGACGACACGCGTTCATTACGGGACACTTCTCGTTTCCTGGGGTCTGTCCTAAAGATGCTTCGTTCGGTTTGCATGCGAAACGCTGCGTTTGTGATCGCTGATGATGGATGGTGACAAATACAAGCATGTGCTGCTGCTGCCAATTCTCAGGGATTGCAGACATTCCCGATTCATAATAGCAAATTAAATCAATCTATTTATACTTTACAGATTTCTCAGAAATATCCAAACTTGGCACAGAGGATTGTTATGAAGTGTGCCTTGACTTAGAAAGCAGCTGTCCACATTACTGCTGCAGATGGAAGAAAAAAAGATGAATTATTTTTCCACTTGGCAAATGTTTACCCACGTGGAGTAATAATGAACAGCTAATTACAGGTCAGTCCACCGATGCTAAAAATAAATAAAAAGTACCCCCACCAGAATCTAGCCTCATGATGTGGCAATAGGCCGGTCATCGCTGCACATTGCTACAAAGTTCAATGTCCCCACACTCTTTTCCCGGTTCTGAGCCGGCAATGGAAATGCCACATTCCTACGGCACGGCACAGGAACACCAAATGACCACTATCCACAAAAGTGGTCCGCGTGTGACGCGCAAGGCCCACACTGTCACTCCACTGCTGGATGAGAGTGCCCCTGCTTGGTGCGGGCCGTGGGGCTTGTTTTGACCATACTTCACCACGCTGGTCGCGGTGGCTTGGCCAATACTCGGGCAGCACAGGCACAAAGGAGTTTGCTGCCCGGTAGCGACCTTGTGGTCACGTGTCCACATTCTCTGCAGGCTCGAACCTCGCCTGAGTCTGCGGGATCTGACGAGATGGAGGCGGATTCCGGGAGACTGTCGTGGGCTCGTCGTGGGAGCCGGCCCTTGTAAGCGTGCGGTCGCATCGCCCGGAAATATAGCGCCTCGGGGTGCGCGGTGCCGAGATGTTAACGACCTCGCCTGGTACGCGGGAGGTCGTGGGTTCGATCTCGAACCCTGACGCCTGCTGCTGTTTATTTGGAGTTTGCGTGTCTCTCTCTCCTCGTGGTCACGTGCTTTTTCCCTCCACGTGCGTTTAGATTATTTGTCCGCAGCTATAAATTTCCACACTTCGTTGATCTGTCGTTTGTGGCCAGGTCGCTTTTGAAAAACTAGCTCAGTGGGCCTCACCTGGCGAAATGAAAATAGTTCAGTTCAAAGTTTCGTTTTTAATGAAGTTCCACGGACGCCGTTGTTGGCCATCTGTTAACTTGTGGTCGAAAAGACACAAAGTCGGCCATTGCTAGCTGGTGCCATCGCGAGAGAGAATGTGCACGCGGCGTAACAGGCACACAAGCAGGTACACAAGCAGGTACACAAGCAGGTACACAACCAGGTACACAACCAGGCACACAAACAGATACACAACCATATACATAAACAGGTACACAAGCAGATACACAAGCAGATACACAACCAGGTACACAAGCAGGTACACAAGCAGATACACAACCAGGTACACAAGCAGGTACACAACCAGGTACACAAGCAGATACACAACCAGGTACACAAGCAGGTACACAACCAGGTACACAAGCAGGTACACACGCAGATACACAAACAGGTACGCAAGCAGGTACACAACCAGGTACACAAGCAGGTACACAAACAGATACACAACCATATACATAAACAGGTACACAAGCAGGCACACAAGCAGATACATAACCAGGCACACAAGCAGATACACAAGCAGGTACACAAGCAGGTACACAAGTAGGCACACAAGCAGTTCCTTAAAGTAAATAAATAATTATAAGCACATCTAGAAAGCATGTTAATTATGTTCTTAGAATTAATTACATAAACCCTTGTTTAAGATACTCATTAAGGTAACGTGACATCTGTTGGGATTAAGTGGTTTAATTCAAGCGGAGTAACACGCGGACGGTCATCGCCCTCCGTGCTGAGAGTCGCGGGGCGAAGCCCTCCACAAAATGTGTCCCTCTCAACTGCAATTAGCGCACCGCAGAGGCCGATAACGGAACGGGAGACGCTGGGGCAGCAGGAGGCCGATGTCGGAACGGGAGATGCTGGGGCAGCAGGAGGCCGATGATGGAACGGGAGATGCTGGGGCAGCAGGAGGCCGATGACGTGTGTTGTGTGTGCGTGTTGTGGTGTGTTGTGAGTGAGTGAGACCAGATTTGTATAACTGAATGGACACCAGGCACGAGTTCGAGGTGCGTGTGACCTTGCTCGAGCATCTCATGATGCGGAGAGCGTGGTACGGTCGTGAGAATCGAGCGGTACGGTCGTGAGAATCGAGCGGTACGGTCGTGAGAATCGAGCGGTACGGTCGTGAGAATCGAGCGGTACGGTCGTGAGAATCGAGCGGCACTGCGGGTGAGAGCACAGTGCAACGCTCCGTCGCAATAGAGCGCAGGGAGGTGAGCAGCCCCACACTCGTCTGAACAGGGAGATGAAGTACTCCGAATTTTACTTTGATTATGATTGGGAGAGGCGGTGACGCGTGGCGAAGTGACTTGGATTCTCCGCCACGGCTAACATCAGCGGCAGGTGCTGTGTGGACCAGCTCTGAGCCCTCCCCTTCAGCAACCCGCACTGACCAGCGTGGTGAAGTATGGTCAAACAACCCCTACGACCGACAGAGTGAGGCCCACATCCAGGAGTGGATTGGCAAAGGGCTGAAATCGTTATAACGATAATTATGTTGGTAATTATGACTAAGAGTGGAGCCTAATTAAGAAGAACAAGAAAAATACCAATGGGAATCCTCGGCACAGAAACTAAATATAAATCTGTGCAGTGTCCCAATTGTGCGGGGAAACGGTGAGCATCAGCGGAGAGAGAGAGAGAGAGCGGCGGAGAGGGAGAGAGAAGGAAGAAAACTCTCTTGACAAGAAAATCGCCATTCAAAGGTTGGCTGTAAATTGCTTTCAGCTCTGAGATTCAAGTGGTGTTTGTTGTTGACCTTGATAATGGAATGATTGGATTGATGCCCCCTCTGTTATATTGCTGCAGGTGCCAAAGCCATCTCCCGTGCAGGCTGTCCGCACGCACGCACGGCGCAGGCGGTGACTCTGCAACAACGCGTGTGCGTTGCGTTCGTCGCTGAACCGACTGTTGTTCAGGCACGTTTCTATTCGTCTCTGGACTGACTGTCCACACACCTTTCTGTTCGCGAGCATCGACCGAGGCCTATCCCACCGCATTCTAAACTAAAACTATTTTTTATTTGAACCAAAAAAGGCCCCATGGAGCTGTGTAGCTCTTTTTCAAAAGCGAGCTGTCGATCACAAATGACAGCTCAACAAAGTGGGATTATCATCACGTGCACATTGATAGCAGGAGCCAAATACTCCGAGCGCATGGTGTGGAGACAATTCCACGCAACCACGGGGAGAACATGCAAACTCCAAATATACAGCAGGCGTCAAGGTCATGATTGAACCCACGACCTCCTGTACAAGAGGCGAGGTAGTTCACATCTCACCACCGTGGTGCCCTCGCGGTGGTGAGAGTGACTCTCCACTACACCAGGTACTCATTTTAGGCTGAGCCAACCTAGAGGTGTTTTCCCAGGCACAGCTCCTGTTGCCCCTACATCAAGAGGGTGCCCCAACCTCTGGAGGCGGCTGGGCAGTTCACAGTGGCCACGTCAGAGCAATCAGCCAACATCACCCAGATCATTGGGTCCCAATCTGCGGTTTCGACTGCGGCGTCAGCGGATCACGGCACCACGCCAAAGATGTCCAGCCGCCCCGAGTTTGATACCTGGCGTGATGCACATTACCCCAGTCGCCACTGGTGCCTGAACCTCTCCCGGGTGCCCCACGAGGTTGTTTGCGTCCGCACCACGTGCGTGCCTGGAGTGATGGACGTCAGTGGTGGGAAGACAAAGGTGGTCTGGCGTGCCACGCCGCGCCATGTGTGTGCGCGCTGCGCACGCGTTAATGCGCTAACTTTAGCCAGCAGTCTGTGGGGCAACACGTGGGATCATCGCCCATTGGGCATGCATATACTGTACGTGCTTGCCTTTGCACGTGTGGTTTTCTTTGCATGAATGTGTGCGTACGTGTGTGGGTGTGTGGCGGTGAGCGTGTGTCTGTGTGCACCTGGTCTGGCACAATGCTGTGGTGATGTCACCGCCACTTTGTGGTGAATGGTGGTTGCTGCTGTTGCTGCTGTGTCTGCGTGCACCTGGTCTGGCACAAGCGCTGTGGTGATGTCAATGGTGGCTGTTGTTGTTGCTGTGGCTTTGTGTGCGTGTGCACACAGAGCCACAGCAACAACAACGGCCACAAAGCAGAAAGCCCATTCTAAGCATCTGCAGCATCCCGAGAATGAAGAGGATTACCGCGGCTTTCACTCACAGGCAAGGTTTCATTTATCTATTCATATTTTCCGGGTCGCCGGTTGACCAGGGGGTAGAGGATGACTAATAACTGGTTGACCTGGGGTAGCAGAGAGCGGCAAGTCAGAGAGCGAGGAAGACGTTGTAGATCCAGATGACAATTTCAGAGGTGGAGCTGAGGAGAGAAACCCATACTACCCCAACCAAAAATACCTCAACGACTTGATCAGAAATCTTGGTCTCACCAAGTCCAATGCCGAGCTTTTGACGTCTAGGCTAAAGCAGTGGAAATTGTTTGATAAAAGTGTGCAAGTCGCAGATCAGAGGAAGCATCACCAACTTTTTTGCAGCTTCTTTACCCGTCAAGATGGGCCCTGCTTCTGCCACAATGTGACCAGTCTGTTCGAGGCAATCGGAATCGCCTGTAACCAGAATGAGTGGCGCCTCTTCATTGACAGCTCATCCAGGAGCCTCAAAGCCGTGCTGCTCCATAATGGTAACAAGTACCCGTCTCTTCCCCTGGCTCACTCGGTGCACCTCAAAGAGGATTACAACAGCATCAAGACCTTGCTGAACGCCTTGAAGTATGATGAGTGCGGCTGGGAGATTATCGGAGACTTCAAAATGGTGGCATTCCTGAAGGGTCTCCTAGACGATTTTACAAAGTTTCCCTGCTGTCTTTGCCTTTGTGACAGCAGGGACACCAAGGCGCACTACCACAGGCAGGACTGGCTACAGCGGACCGAGTTCTCTGTGGGGAGGAACAACGTTAAGTGGGAGCCACTGGTGGACCCCCAGAAGGTGCTGATGCCACCACTGCACATAAAATTGGGCCTTATGAAACAATTTGTCAGAGCTGTAGATAAGGAGTCAGCAGCCTTCAAGTACCTTCAAGACTTCTTCCCGAAGCTATCTGAGGCAAAGGTCAAAGCCGGTGTCTTCGTCGAACAACAGATAAAGAAGATCCTGGAGTGCAATGAATTCCCCAAGAAGCTCACTGGTAAGGAGAAAGCGGCTTGGGACAGCTTTGTTGCAGTGGTTCGTGGCTTCCTCGGCAATCACAAGGCCGACAACTATGTGGAGCTGGTTGAGACTGGTGAAGAACTAAGGCACAATGGGCTGTTAGATGTCCCGCAAAGCCGAAAGACTCGCTATCCTTGATGTTCATCTTGATAAATTCAAAGAGAACATGGGAGCGTACTCGGAGGAGCAAGGCGAGCACTTCCACCAGGATTTACTGGACTTTGAACGCCGCTAACAAGGACAGTATAACGAGAACATGATGGGAGACTACATTTGGGGGCTGATTCGTGGAAGTGATTTACAGTATAATCGTAAATCTCGAAAAACTGCTCACTTCTAAATTTTTTGTAGTTATTTTTGTATTACTTTAGTATAAATGCATGTTAATTTTGATTAATATGTTTTTTTTCTGACTTTATGTGAACGAAAAGACACAAATTTGCCCGTTTTCTCATTGAAAATAGGTAAATTTCAAAATATCACTGTCCGGTCACAAAAGAAAAGTTTGTAGGGAATAATAACCATTTTCTATACTTTTTAGGCATAAGCAATTACAAAATAACACTTACTACCCAGGAACAAAAATTGTGTTACATCGTGTAATGGGCCTTGTGCAAGTCTGAATGTGAATATGTATTTGTGTGTATCTAGATTGACTCAGCCTCAAATGAGTATCTGCTGCAATATGTAAACATCGCCACTAGGGAGACAAAGGCGGCCGGGTGTAGTGCCGGCCACCCATCCCCTCGTGTGCCGTGCCGGCCTTCATAGGTACTCGCTAACAGCACTTGCCCCAACAGTCTGTTATGGCTACACGGGGGATCTTTGTTTTTGTGGGTGTGTGTGCGTGTGGTAACATATGGTAAGCAGAGCTTTAGTGATGTCTGCAAAGGCTCTATGAAATGTAGATAATGAGATAGTTGTCTACATAGTGTATCTACGTAGCTATCTAATACAAGAAGAGGAATTTAGGTCGATGACCGCCAGGCCTTGTCCGTCGGTAAAATAAAGAATCTTCGCTGTGACAGCTGCGTGTTCGTCGCTGTCTCTGTTCAAAATTACACCGCCGTGTCTCCTGGGAGAGTCGCGTAAAAATAGTGCGCCGGCGGGCAGAAGGGAGCGTGATGTGGCGGTGCGAGCATTGCCCGCCTATGAAGGCCGCCAAGGTGCCGGCCTTCATAGGTGGCTCGCTAACAGCATCTGCCCCAACGGTCTGTCCGGGCTGTACGGGAGGATGATTTGTCTTTATCGTTGTGTATCTCTGTGTGTACGTGGATAACTGAGTACAGAACGAATCACTGTAATGAGAGGAGGAGTCGCTGTTATGGCAAGGAAAGAGCAGAATAACTATCACGGGGCAATGTTCTTGACCTATTCTGATTTCCCGTTGGCCGTCCAGAGCCACCCGTGGATTTTGCACATTTCTGTGATGGAGTTCAGCCTCTTCACAGCACAACTCTCTAAAGCAGCAGCGGTCCCCAACCTTTTTGGCACCAGGGACCGGTTTCGTGGAAGACAATTTTTTCACGGACCGGGGGGGGGGGGGGGGGCTTCATCATTGGGTCTTTCCCCCTTTTCAAAGAAGCTCTCCAGCGACGTTTGTTTTTTACTCATTGTGGCTACTAGGGGTTAGAGCTTGTGGGCTACCAACACTGTGACTGAGACGAGTGCGTAGTGCGGGAGAGAGGCGCGGATGGAAGTGGTCAATAATAAAACAATAAGGGCGGGGGGCCATGCGCGGACTCACCGCTCACCACTATGCGGTGTGTAGAGTGTGTACACACACGGACTCACCGCTCTCACCTCTTGCTGCTGTGTGGCCCGGTTCCTAACAGGCCGCGGACCGGTACCGGTCCGTGACCCCGGGGTTGGGGACCCCCCTACTCTAAAACATTTATTATTTACCCACGAAAAAATATGACCGTACTATTATATTTTTTACGACATATTCAGGAACGGTTTTTTTTGTGAGCCTCAAGACTCATTCTCAAGAGGGCCTTTGCTTTGACATGTTTGTCTCACTCAGTGTATATGAGCGCGTAAAATACCGAATGTTTAATACTAAATTGTCGTTATTGCAGCAAAAAAGGTGACCAATCTGAAAAGGTGTGCTTCTCAGATTGTTGTCACTCAGCGGAAACTCTTGCAGAGCGAGAAAATTTCGTAAATAATGTGCATAAGTACGCCGATTTATCAGTACGGCAGCGCTCGGGAAAAAGTGCAGAATGAAAATAACGTACATCTGCGATGCAGGGAAAACAATATTGCAATCCCGAGGCAGGCTGTGAATATTATTGAATACATTTACCCAGGCTGCTCAGTAAAAATAGAACTTGTCGCCTGGGAGTTTTTCCAGTAAAATTATATCCCGTGGAACGGCCACCGTAAAATCGCTCACATGACCTTTTCTGAGCCATTGTTACTGTTTCTGTGTTTTTGTGTTTACACTGCGAGCCTGGATTGTGTTGTTGTTGTTTCTGTGTTTGTGTTTACACTGTTCGCCTGTCCTTTGCTGTTGTTTCTGTTTGTGTTTACACTGCTCGCCTGGACTGTGTTGTTGTTGTGTCTGTGTTTGTGTTTACACTGTTCGCCTGGACTGTGTTGTTGTTGTGTCTGTGTTTGTGTTTACACTGTTCGCCTGGACTGTGTTGTTGTTGTGTCTGTGTTTGTGTTTACACTGTTCGCCTGGACTGTGTTGTTGTTGTATCTGTGTTTGTGTTTACACTGCGAACCTGGACTATGTTGTTGTTGTTTCTGTGTTTGTATTTACACTGCGAGCCTGTCTTTTGGTCAGTGAGGGGAGGAACGGATTTGTCAACTCAATCAGCCTGAGTGCATGACCCGCACGCAAGCGGCGAGGCGTTTTAAATTACACTCCTCAGAATCTAATCAGGTCACTTTGAAAGTTATCTTGAAATGTAATCATCTGGTACATGCAAAGTGAAGGCAATCTGATTCTACACGGGAAGTCCAGTCAAGGTGAAAGTGACTCCGCTACCTAAAGGAATGGCGCTGTTGTGTGCGTGTTGGTACTCCACTCCGCGCACGATCTGCTCCGGCAGCCGAGGCTTTCTCCCCAAGGCTCCCACCGTCAACCTCGATCCGAGGGACGTCGCTCATTCTCAACGACTGCCCCCGTGGTCTAAAACTCCCTTCCACCATGACTTGAAAAGAACCTACCCACGTGAGTTTACCGAAAGACCCAAAGAACATCCCTTCCACCAGTCATCTGTGCTGTCGACTGCCTGCACCTAGCCAATTGCAGACTCAAGACGTCTTCTCACTAAAGAGTTACCGGGTCACTGGTAGACCCGGAGGTGGCACCTTAGTCATAGCCACAGCCACGACGAGGTATACTGGATGTGGTGTGCAAGGTGCAGAAATATACACGGGGAATGTGGCGTCAGTGCAGGACCGCCACTGCCTAAAACTGTTATGGGGCTTCACATACTTGATTTTTTTCCTCTCCTTATGACTGACTGCCTCTCCTCATCATCTAAATGTGCTCAGTTTCTTTACGACGTCTTGAGATGCGGTCCCAGGTCTCCCGTGAGAGTCAACTTGTCTCTACGAGCGTCTGCGTGTGCCGTTGGGTTGCCCCACGTGCCGGTGACAAGGGATGGGCCGAGGGGCCACTGTGGTGAGATGTTGACTACCTCGCCTGGTATGCAGGAGGTCGTGGGTTCGATCCCGACCCTGACGCCTGCTGCTCTATATTTGGAGTTTGCGTGTTTCTCTCCCCGTGGTTTTTTTCTCTGGGTCGTCTGGTGTTATCCTTCACATTTAGAAACGTGTTAAGAGTATTTGGTTGCCATAAATGTCACTCAGTTACTCTCTCATTTGTGACGGCCAGGTCACTTCCCGAAAGAGAGCTACAGAGCTCAATGGGCCTTACCTGGTACAATAAAAAATAGTTTAGTTTAGAAGCAGCAGGCCTGTGCCTGTAGGCCGCAGTGCTCAGCAACCCCCCACCCCAATCCACTCCCCTGCCCCCCATTCCCCTGCCCCCCACTCCCCTGCCCCCCCACCCACACCCCTGCCCCCCCCCAACCACTCTCATGCCCCCCCACCCACTCCCCTGCCCCCCTCACCCACTCCCCTGCCCCACCCCCACCCACTCCCCTGCCCCCCCCACCCACTCCCCTGCCCCACCCCCCACCAACTCCCCTGCCACCCCCCCAACCACTCTCATGCCCCCCCACCCACTCCCCTGCCCCCCTCACCCACTCCCCTGCCCCACCCCCACCCACTCCCCTGCCCCCCTCACCCACTCCCCCCCACCCACTCCCCTGCCCCCCCCCACCCACTCCCCTGCCCCCCCACCCACTCCCCTGCCCCCCCCCCCCCCACCGCCCCACGTGGGAACCTACCTGCGCGCTTGATGCGCCTGCGCTCGGCCTGCAGGTAGGGCTTGTGCGGGCGGGTCAGGGGTCGCGCGGGCCCGTCGCGGTCGCACAGCACGGCCTGGGAGTCGCCCACGCTCAGCACGGTGAGGCCGCGCTCGCCCACCACGGCGAGCAGCAGCGACGTCCCTGCAGGCAGCACAGGACACAGACAAAGATCCCCCGGGTAGCCTTAAAAGACTGTCGAGGGCAAGTGCTGTTAGCGAGTTGCGGCGCCTACGAAGGCCGGCACTGTGGCACGCGAAGGGTGGGTGGCCAGCGCCACGCCCGGCCGCCTTTGTCTCCCCGGTGGCGATGTTTACGCACCACGCGAGGTACTCATTTGAGGCCGAGTCCACCTAGGGGAGGCTCAGGACCGGTTCAGAGAATTGTCACTGGTGTCGGGGTTCGTAGCGGAGCGCGCTCAACGCTACACCGCCGACTCACGCAGCCACACAGAGGCAGCGCAACACAATGCGTCACCTGACGAATTGAAGGCAAGCCGCTGCCGTGCTATCATGGCCAAGCAAATCAGAAACGATGGTTCCACATCGCAGTCCACGGGAGTCTGCGCTCCATAAACGCAGCAGGAGGAGGAGAAGCAGACAAACTCTCCCTCCTGAAACCCTCTCGTCGTGGCGAGCGGCAGACCTCGACATTGACGTACAGCTCCTGAACGTATTTTGCCATCGCATGCAAGAATAGAAAGCGGCCCAAACTGATGAAAGTGTTTCCTAAAAACTTGGAGACACAAGCCAGTGAAAAATAATGTCCTGGAGTAATTGCAAAATGTGAAAACACATTTTTCCCCTGACAGCTGTTAACCATCGGCTTCCAGACCGCTCAAATCTTTCACGGACAAACACGCGATGCCAATGCGTTACGTAACCCACGCGTGCGCGTGGTTTTTCTTCAATGTCCAATGACGATGACTCATCTCCCCTCTCTCCAAAGGGCCGCTTCGGAATTCACCCCGTGCTCCTTGACACCCGCGTAACCCCCATTACGTTCTGAACGCGGTGCATTAGTGGTAATAAAATCATCCTCCCCACTACGACACGTAATGAGTTTCTATACATTATTGATTATTATTTTCCACCGGAACGGGGGGGAGGGGGCACTGTCGTGTAGGGGAGAAACAGTTCTTGCCGATAACATCTGACAATACACAAGTATTTGTTTAAACATGTATGACTATGCTGAGACCGGGAAAATGCTGCTGAATGACATCCGCAAGGACGATTGGTCGATGGGGTCACAAAAACGAATGCGGAGGCAGATGGAGCTCTGTTTATTTGATTATCCTTGTGCTTCTGTGTTCATAGTGTTTTAAGTATCCATAACTTAGCTGTATGGGGGATGTATGGAGTCAGAGTGGTTTATACGCATGGGCCTTGCACAATGGGGCAACGCAGAACGTAGCGATGAGTTGGAGTGTGGTAAATCTGTTGCAATGTGCGCTCTGAACGGCCGCTAAAGACATAATACAAACAAAATGAGTGGATTTTTGGCTGAGCTGACGTAAGGGGAGGTCCGTGCAGAGGTCAGATAAAGGATGAGCAAGTGGGTGGTCATTTGGAAGGCAGTAATAGTAGCTCCGTGTCGGACCACAAACACACCACGTCCAACGCAGCACACACACGTCTGCAGGAACAAGCACACACATGGACACAGATCCCCCGTATCTCCTTACCAGACTGTTGGAACAAGCGCTGTTAACGAGCACCTATTAAGGCCGGAACGGCACGCGAGGGGGTGGGTGGCCAGCACCACGCCCGACCGCCTTTGTCTCCTCAGTGGCGATGTTTACTACACGTCGCACCAGATACCCATTTGAGGCTGAGTCGACCTAGGTGAGGCCCATAACCGGTTCGTTTCCCAGTCACGGTGGCCGTTAGCTGGAATTAAACCAGTGTCGCCGGGTTTGTAGCGCAGTGCGCTTACCACTACACTACCGCTCCCCACATACACACACGTGCAGACACACGTGGATATGAATACACACAAAAATACACACGGACACACACACACGGAAACAACAAACGCCATTTGCACGGAGATAGAGACACTAACACACACATACAGACACTAAGATACACACACACACGTAGATACAGACACACGTAGACACAGACGAACACACGCAGAGGCACGCACAGAGGCTTAATTTAAATTCACGTGGGCACACACGCACGTGATCACAGTGCTGCATTGCAGTCACAAGTAAATAAATATATAACTCGCACAGGCAATAAACGTGGACATACATCACACACGAGCAATTATTAGAATGTACATTGGGCAAAATTGTTGCCAATTTTACAATAAAGTGATTCGTTGATGAAGCAGAAACAATTAGCGGTGGGGTTTCCCCTCTCTCTTTGTTTTGTAGCCCTGAAGGAAATTGTAAAACAAAATAGGATTACATTTCAGCCGCATGGCTTCTTGCAGCTCGGCACAGGTTAAGTTTGTGTCATTTGCTAGGTTCGGAGCAAAATATGCGTTGGATTTTCCTTAATGACCGACAACTGGCACGGTTGGCCACGTACGGTGCGAAAGAAGTTCAACACACACACACAAATACATATACAACGATTGTACGGGCACGGTGAAGTAGATTGATTACAACAAGATTTACATTTGAGCGAAGTGGCTTTACACGGCGAAAAAAATATTTGACAATCATTCGGCAGAAGGTGAGTTTACACGAAACGTTAGGCAATTGAAAAATTATCTGAGTTTTTTTAAAGTTGTAATTCCCCCCCGCCCTCCATCTCGCTGCCGCTGTCGCAAGGTCACGTGGTCTCTCACGTGGTGTTCGGGAACGGGCTCAACAGAAGTGGGTACCACAGAGCTACCATCGATAATTACCCTCCACCAACACCGACGACGGAGCCAATCAAAATCCGATTGTCACGCGCGTGGCCAAATGTGCCAATTGATTTTGGCTGTTCAGCCCAACCCGGAGGAGTGTTAAAACGCGCAATTTTGACACCTTATACAATTTGCTTGAATTTCGACATTACACTCGCTGGGTTTTTTTGCTGAAAGACAAATCGAAGCGGCACGTTTACCCACACACGTGACGAAGTTGATTTGATTTGCTCTGTTGTCGGGCAGTAGGAGAATCTCGCAAAATGAAATGTACACTACACCTCATCTACTTATGAAGCATACTACTCTCTTGTTCGTTGCGATTTCGCCTTACGCACACAATTCTCAGAGCACCCTCTGAGATGATTTCCAGCGACCTCTGATCCGCACACAGTAGAGGGCAGCACTTCCAACGCACCCTGTGCATGGATGTTAAGTTCATCACAGTAGTAGTAGTATCACCATTACGTTTGTTTACCCAGGAGAGTGCACAGTGATTGGGATACGTTTCCCAATTCAGCACGTAATCTTTTTTTTCATTGCCAAATTTGGACCATGACACCAGCACACAATGGCCTCATCTTCAAATGACATCACGGGATCTTTAAAGTCCACCGCGAAGCAGATGCCACGTATTTGACGGTTAATACACCACGGCAGTATTAACCAGGGAGGCCGGCTGTAATCAAACCGTATGAACTCATGCCCACTTGGCCACGCCACCGACTGTCAAACCGATGCAGCATTTTAATTCGCACAGCTGGAATTAAGCCAAAAAGAAGTGAACAACCGAATTTTAAATGATGGGGGGGGGGGGGGGGGGTTAGTGGTGTGTGCAGTCGTTGGTGACCAGGCTGAGACCATCAAATCGCAACACCTGACGGGCCTGTTTAATCACAGGGTTGAAACCAGGCTGACCTCTGACCTCTGACCCACTGGGCCCAACCTACTATTTGTTTATTTTCTTAACCAACAATGAATAATGCGAACACAAGAGTAACATGGATATCTTTACATCTTTTCGTTTAATGGGACGGTAAATTATTTACGACGGTTTTCCATTTGAAGGCGAGTCTCAGCTTCACGTAGAAAACAGCGTCCTTTATTTATTGCTGCGTTTTTTGTTTGTTGCACGAGGATAAAAGCCAGGGAGGAAGCCTGGAACATAAAGGGAAACATCAAAATGTTTTGCTTGAAAGATTCTGCAAGCAGTGCTGTGCCAAAACAAGCACAGTCGAGATTGCTTTGAATTTTTCGAAATGGTCATTTTATTATTTTCCCAGTTTATTAATTATTTTTTTTCTACATTCGAGACACCCCCCCCCCAAAGCAAACTGCCCTCTGTGTCGCGCCTTTCGACGGTTTCTTGAATCTATCTGTGCGGATCTTTGAGTATCAGCCCCTCCTCGTATGCGCAGTGGGACTTCTAAGCTTCCCCGGTTTCCACACGCAAGAAGCCAATGTCTTACGTTTAGAATTGGCCAAACTATAATTTTTGTCATGAATATTGCTTCATAGTGCATACAGCGCCTGAAGGTATTATCGCTGCCATGTGTTCAGTCTCTATTACGCTGCGGTATTTGTGAAGCAATTATGAGACAATGGCCTCCTCATGCTGTGTCGGTCATGGGGATTGTTGACCATACTTCACCACGCTGGTCATCGCGGGTTGATGCAGGCTGTCTATTGCATTGCCCACCCACTGGAAATGTGGCAAAGCTCACCCTGCGCTCAACCTCAAGCTGCATCGCGCCAGTAGTCAGTGTGATACCTACTTGCTGCCCTGCCGCCTGCTGCAGGCACCACCAACCCGGCAGGCGGGCGCCTCACACCGCCTCCCTCTCCATGTGATGATCCCACAACCTCACTTCCCACCTACACGGTCGCAGGATGCATTCACGGCCACCAAGTCCCCACACGCACAGCTCCAGTGTGGTGATGCTGCGAGTCGTCACTTGCAGCCCTTTGTCAAGGCACTACTGGACGAAGGCCACAATACACCAGCACTACACAAAGATCCCCCATAGAGCCTGCACAGGCTGTTGGGGCAAGTGCTGCTAGCGAGGCCAGCACGGCACACGAGCGGGTGGGCGGCCAAGACCACGCCCGGCCGCCTTTGTCTCCCCAGTGCTGTTGCTTTACACACGGCTTGGTAGACCTCGGCAAGCCCCGAAACCGGTTCAGATAACCGCCACTGTTGTTTGTCCGAAGCGGGGAGCGAACTGGGCTCGTCGGGTTCGCGACCAGGACACTCCGTCTCCCCACTCCTACCTCAC